GTACTTTAAAGTGTATAAATAAGTTACCCGGGCTATTGATTTACACTAGCCAATCAGACGAATTTCAGCCCATGAACGTACGTACGCATGCACGTCCGTTTCCCAATGATCTTCGTTAACTCTTGACCAATAAAATTATAAGATAGAAGTAACGTCACACAAACGCGAAGCATTTTTTAAATATATCGATATACTTGGGGAAGAACTAATGTAGAATGCTGAAAAACAATGCATGAAAATGAAAATTTGTTTAATCAACTAGTAAAATTTTCTGAAATTTATCATATTGCAAAAACTTCTTTTGTAAGTCAATGGAATATTGAATATTTACAAAATTCTATTCAATGCGCCTTCGACGTCGAAAATGCCTTGTTTATGATATCCGATGAAGACGCTGAACTTCTGCATAAAAAACTAGTTTCAAAAGCAAAAGCTGAACGTCGCGTTCTGCCTCCACCTTTAACCGAATTTCAGTGCGCATACCATTTATTTTATAGAACTTTATTAAGAAACATTTATTTGCCAAGTGAATTGTCCTTTTATGTTTTGAATACTTATGAATTTCTGAACTATGGTCTATTTTCAAAACAAGAAAATATTGCTGAGGTATGCTCTTGTGATACCTTTGTCTTATACTATAACTTACACTTAAACGTAAATTTACCATAGGATGTACAAATGTTCGCCAAACCTTTAGCAATGGCCGATGTCCTAGCTGGAATTCAAATGGGTTTATTAGAAGGATTATCTCAAATAAAATCGCACAATAAGGAACAAGTTCCTGGTATGTGTAATTTTACAATGAAATAATTAAGATTTCTGTGCGTAATTGTTTCTCTATTATAGGTGTGGCCGCGCTGAAACATGAATATTCTTATAAACTTTTGCATACAACTACTACAAGACGTGCTGCGGCTAGATTACTCTTAAAAGATTTTGATAAATTCTTTAATGATGGACAAATTGATTCCGATGGTATTGATCAAATTCATAATGTTTTACATCATTCAACTCAATCATCTGATGGAATGGTGAGGAGAATATTATCTATACATCGAACCTTTTTGTAACCTTGTTTCACATATGTTACATTTGAAGATATGTTTTTATTAGGAGATCATCTTCCATGCAGCGATATTATCATTTCAGCCAAATGAAGTGGATTTGCGAATTTCTTCCGAATTGAATCATATTTTGCTGAATTGGATCACTTCATTTGCTAACATTGATACGAGTCAACAATTATTAAGTTCAACAACTTCCTTAGAATCTGGTGTTTGGCAGTTGCATCCTTGGTTATTATCTCGACTCTCTTTTATCCATCAACCATTTTTCGAGGCTTATTCACGAATGTTAATTCAATGCACACGACAAGAACAGCAACATATGTATGACAATTTATTGTCTCATTCAAAAAGATTTTATGATTCGCAATTGAATGATACTCATCGAAGGCTTAAAAGCTTACTTTGTCATTGGGAGTTGTTACATCAACAGTTCAGAGATGAAAAAAAAACTGTTACTAACCTATTACAGCAAGAATGGATCATATTCAAAGGAAGGTATGAAAAACTTGATCAATGTAAAGGAAAAGATTCTGAATTTAAGATCATGTTTATACAAGTTTGGAGAAAATTCTTTTTAGAGCTAGGTGTGTGTATTGATTGATAATACATTGGGTACAATCTCTATTTAATTGCTGTATTGCTGTTAGAATATCTAGTCTATAAGCAACAACCAAGTATAGTGTGTTTTTTTTTTTTTTTTTTTTATGTATGTCCTTGGGCAATTATCAATACATTTATGTAATGGCAAAAAAAAAAAAAAGTAAAGAAAGAAAAAGCCATTTAAAAATTAAACACAAAACATTAAACAAAGTCACAGTATGAGTAATGTACATTATGACATAAAAATTTAGCCCGTGCACACTAAATTTTGCTACAAGAATAATCTAGTATGATTAAGAACGCATTCCCAGGATCAAGTTCTCAAGTATATATCAGGATTCATGTCTTGACCGATGTAATGAGATCTTCTACCACATCGACGTTTGCGTCTCGTAGTATATTCTTAAAAGATTCACTTTCACGAAGCTCAATCCAGTTTCGTTTAGCAAACCGGTAAACTGCTTTCCGTAAACGCACAAGGTCACGTTCCCAAGCGAATAAAAGCAGATTATCCCAAGTGTTCATATTTATCAAGTTAATTAATTCCGAAATGACAACTTCAACAAGCTCATGTATTGCGTCTACTTCAAGTGTTTTACGCATTTCCGCGTCGATGAATATTTTTTTAAGCTGTGTAATTTTAGTGGAAACCGTGTCTCCCGTAATTTCTAGTAAAGTACCAGAATATAAGTAATGTAAAACATAATAAAATGTATTATAATCTACATCCTGAATATGCACTGGCTTTGATTCTTTAATTTCTTGTGTCCAGTCATTTTTTATCAATGTCTTGAAGTAATGAGATCTTTCCGCCAATATAACCTGATGTGCAAGAATTGTTCGTCCTTCAACCAAGAATTTGATATCACTAAAATTTGGTGTATTTAAAGTCTGTGAAAACGCTGTCCAAGCTGTTCGTGAATTTAATGTTAATCGTGCCATCGATTCCTCTAATTCGTCTGGCACACCGGATGGATTTGGCGTGATTATCACAACATGAACAACAAGAGTATCATCTTCTAAAACACTTCCTGTTCGCTGAATCATCTCTGGTAATAGTATTTCAGGTTCTTCTGTACTATTAGCATTGTTATTTCCTTCACAGTTTAGAACCGCTTTTGAACAAAAACTTGGCCATCCCCAAGCCGGTTTTACCTTCAAAAATTCATGACGTTCACTATAAAAAAATTTTACAAATGATTATTCAAAAGTTGCGTTCCAAAGACATGTCTATCGATTTCAACTAACTTACCTACGACGTTTTACTAATCTCAAGACCCGGTTTTCCCCTTGTTGAACAGGAACATAAAAACCAATATAAAAATTCACGTTAATTCTTGAAGAAGGTTGTGCGTCAATCGGAAATATAGTTTCTAGATAACAGCTGATGCTGTTTTGGGAACTTTCACTATTGCCGTTAGGATGGAATTTTAGTCTCCAATTCAAAGGTATGTAAGAACATCCGCTGTCGTCGAAAACACAAATGTTGCAGGTCCACTGAGGGCTATGAAAACATTGAGGCCTTGGTGCTAGAGCTTCTATTTTTTTAAAATTCGGTATAATCCAAGTAAAATTGTGAATAATACTACTTCCAACCTGAGATTCTGTTTCGTTACGCATTTTAAAAGTATAATTATACAGAAACACAGAAATTTTGCAGTTAAAAAAACTGTATAATGTGTATAATGTCTTGTTAACTGTCACACGATTTGTCACGCAGATCACAAAATAAATAAATTTTTTTTCATGGTCGAATGATCTTCGCACCTAAAATTTCATTTGCAGAAAAGCTTATTCGGCAAAACAAAGTAATTTTTAGTTGGAAGGAATGTTTATTTTTGTTAAGTGTTACGGAAATAAATTGCACGCAAATTTTATGGGCTTGGTTATAATATGTATATGGTATCCAATTATTCTATCTTTATGAAACTTTGAAGTATATAATATCTAATATTTAATTATAGGTTAAAAAAGATAACTTTTAAATATTAAACTATTGTAATTCATAATTATCTTACTGTATTATTCTTTTTTATTTTTTTATCTTAGATACACTATTAAAAAAACATTTAAGCATACAAATTTGTATATTAAAAGACAGAATTTATTTAGTATTCACCGGAGGTGAAATTCACCACGATATGGTTTAATTATTATGATCTATTGAAAATGTTACAGTAGATTTAGATTTTATAGCTAGAAGTAGACTTTAGGGTTAAGGCTTAAGCAGGGGGGTAAGGTTTTTTAGGGTGTTAAACCATTTTTACTTAGTATATCAATACCGATTGTCAAAGCCATTTTTTTTAGAAACAACGTACCCAGTGAATTTCACCTCCGGTGAGCGTTAAAATTGTCCTTTTAGATAATATGATATAGCAAATCATACAACATATTTGGTTACTGTTAACGTTAATGTTAATTTTAATTTTAACGTTAAACGTTAATAACTGATTTAAAAAAACTGCTGCCTCTAAATTTGGAATTGATTCTATACATAAAACGAACTATTTTTTATTCTTTATGAAATAATAATATATTTTTTAAAATAAAAACCTTTAAACTATTATAAACTATATATCAAATCAAGATAGTTATTAAAATTGCTTAAACCAGAAATGAAATTGTTTTGATTAGTGCCGAAAAATTCCGAATGAATCTACTCTTTAAGAAGCGCTTGCACAATATGACCGACTCTCATAGTTTTTAAATCCGTATATGTCTGCCCAGTACCGACAAATAAAATAGGCTGCCCAGTTGTATAAGCCATTGACAATGCCGCACCGACCTATTCAAGTATATTAAAAGATTAATTGCTGAAATTATAGTTTACAAAATAAGATTTAACTAACCTTATCATCAATTGTATCAAATTTAGTTAATATAATTCCATCAATATGCCTTGGATTTTGTAATCCTGAAAAATCTTTCAAAGCCTGATTGAATTTCGTAAGCTGATCAACTGCTTCGTTACCAACTAGTGCTTCACCAACAAATATTATTTTATCCGGGTTATTTACTGTTACTAACTTAAGTTTATGATCAAATATATAGTGAATAAAACATCAAATATGTAAATTTCTTTTAGTGTAAATTTATTAATACCTTAGCCAGAGCACGCATTAACGGCTCATTGTCCTGCATACGACCGGCAGTATCAATCAATACAACATCAAATCCATTTGCCTTAGCTACAAACGAAGAAAATTGAAAATCGAAATCAGAAACAAAAGACCAATATTTACATACAGTACTTACCGAAATTAATGGCATCTTTGGCGATTCCTGCAGCATCTTTTCCATACCCGCGTTCATATAATTCAACAACCGAATTTTGCCCTAAAGTGTTTAAATTTCTAACATGTACTTTCAATTGTTCCACAGAACCAGACCTAAAAGTATCGCAGCCTGCAATTAGGACCTTAAGCCCATTTTGCAATAACCAGAAACAAGTCTTTGATAGATTTGTCGATTTACCTGTTAAAGTTTATAAGTCAAAAGCCATAGTATTAAAGTAATAATAATAAGAAATATTTGATATTTAAAAAATAATATAATGAATTGTAGCGCATACCAACACCATTCACACCAATAAAGCAAATAGTGTAGGGACGTGATTCAGATTGAGCTTGCGAAATATCACGTAACAAATCCACGGATGTCTTTGGAGTCAAAATACGTTTTACCGCTGATTCCATGGATTGCTTCACAGTTGACCGAATTGCTTTAGATCATTGAAAAGTGTAAATTAATATATTATTATCATTGATTTTCTAATATGAATATCATAGTTTTATAATATAAGGTAGGCATACATTTGAAACTTCCAATTTTTTGACCTACAAGAGTTCTTGAGACTGAATCACACAAATGCGTAGCGATATCAGCCGCAACATTCTTTTTAATTAAATGTTCTTTCATGTTTGCCAACACAAGAGTAAGATCTTCTTCTGTGATCTCCTTTTGACCGGTGATGTTTTGGAAAAATGAAAAAATTCTAGACCCTTTAGTACTATTGTCATGTGCAGTTCCACTTGTCACTTCATCTTCATCTTCATCTTCATAATCCTCATCCTCATCTTGCTTCAAGTCGGCAACTTCATAATGACCATCTTGAGAGCGATGTCCTAAATTATTTTCATCAACAAGATTCTGACGTATAGCTGATGTCGTATCAATATTTTCATTTGGACTACTATAATCAAGACTTTCCATTTCTTCTTTAGTCAATTTGTCGTCCCATACACGCATGACTTTCTTTGTGGATTTCTTATCACTAAACAAAACCAAACAAAAAAAAATCTAAAAGAATACTTAAAGGCAAGTTAACTAAAAGTTTATCTGATTACACATACTCTGAGAGATCACCATTTGGAGCTGATCTAGTATTTCCCGATTTTTTATTTCGATTGCCACGGCCTCGAATAGGCTTTCCTCCACCACGAACTGCCTCAATATTACGTGCAATTTCTTCCTCGCTGATTGTTGGGTTAATAGGTGGCTTCGATATGTCACTAACGCCTAATTAAAGGTGAATTAAATTTTAAGGATTATGAAAAACATTGTTAATAATGTTAATAATATAATTACTGAGTTTTTTGTTTCCTTCAACTGTATCTTTAAATTTTTTTGTCTCTTCGAATTTGCGTGGTTTTGATCGTTTGTTTTGTTCCTGAAAGAATTTCAAGATAGAGTTACTATAATAAATTTATGCAATAAAGTCATTGTGACCAAGTTCACTTATTTTATTAACCGATAAAAACCTTGGCGTTTTTTTCTTCGAGTGTACTTAGAATCGAGTCGAAATCATCATCAAAAGCGTATTTATGAAGTCTAGTTGTATCTCGAATAAATTCTGCAAATTTTTCGCAGAAGAATTTTTTTATGGTCGCCAAAAGTTCTTCTATGTACGCAAGCTGAAGAATTTTCTGATATGCTACCTATTAAACGGAAACGTAGCAAATAGAAGGAATGAGAAACTTGCCGAAATAATAGAGAATAGTTTAAATTTTACTCGAAAACTTTTGACAGTTCATGGCTCGCTGCCAAAGCAAAATGAATCCAATTTAAACAGACTAATAACAAGACTCACTTTTGCATTTGACATTTACCACAAAAATTAGATCCAGTTCATTAGCGAAAGTCCATTTTATGCTGTAAGAATCTTTAACAAAGCTGTTAGCGCCAGCTCTTTCTTCAATTAGCACTTCTTTAATCAATGCGTCTATTGGAGAATTTATAATAGGGGCGAAGGTTTTCGACCAAAGGACGATTCCGCCCTTAGTCAGAATTGTGAAAAAGTCAAGCATGTTCGTCTTACCCTATTTTTTTTTTTTTGGAATCAGATAATTTAGTTGCATAACGGGTTAAACTTTGATTGGTCAATAAAAGAAATAAATAACTTTAAGTTGATTGGGTAATGTTTTTCAATTAAGGGAACTCGTTCCAAGCAGACTTAGCGTTAGGACAAGAACTCATTCTGTATATTTTACACAGTCAGATATTTTACGCGATATAGAAATAATCTGCAATATACTAAAAGGTTATTCTAAAACCGATTTCTATTTAACAATTACTGTTGATAGTTGACGTTAGAATAAGGGTGAGCACTATAGGGTTGGGGGCACGGGGCACGAGACATTGGTCAACTATGTTTGACAAAACTATATGCGGTATCTTATAAAAATCAATTATTACAGATTTGCAACAGAGTATATAACGACAATAGAATATAACGATAACAATAATAAAATTTTTTTTTTTTTTTTTTTTTAACCTTCGCAATGTCGCGTGAGGGCGGATTTTTATTAGGTATTTTAGATAGTACATTATTGGAACAGGGGGAACCGTATATAGGATAACTTTCTTCTGATTGGTCAATCGCTTTCAATTGTATTTATACAGTTTAAAGTACTTTTTAAGA